AGTCGGGACCGTTGGGTGGTGACCGAAAGGGAGCAATGAAATCGGGCCAGTACACCTCCAGACGATCTACCGAAATCGGTGAGAGGGAGCACCATCTCAGAAAGGGAGTTATGGAAGCAGAGTCGTACCGAGTGGGTTGCGAGCGGTGCACCCGCACAGAGCACCTACTTGAGGGGCGCCCATTGTCTACCAAATCACTACAAAATATGAATAAAACTTTTAAAAAATTCAAATTATCCTGAATTTAACTAAATTAAACATAAAAATTAATACTTAATGTATTGCTGGTGTTGGGGAAGTTGGAGAGGTATAGAGGGGGGGGGGGGGCTGCTGGATTGATATCTCACAGGGCGCCAAATATCCTCAGTATGGCGCCGCATGGAAGTAATACACGGCATACTCACTTTAGTACCTCTCTCCACGATGAAAACGTTAGTTCTCCCGAACGTCCAAAACCCCATGGACACCATGAGCGAACGAGATAATGTGTCCAGGTTCGCGCAAGAAACTTTCTTCCCTTGGAAGCGACGTAAGAATTCCTTGCAACAATCCGGTCGCTTCTGTTTCCAGGCAGCAGATAGTTTTGTGATTCTTTACACAGGACTGCCGGATATCCCAGAATGGCAAGACATTTCTCTCGTACTGAGGCTGGTTCGCTTTGAATTTGTTCGCTATTTTCTGGAGTACGCAAGGAACATGGTTATTTTACTCCTCTCTCTTTTTTTTTCTAATTATAAATTTGGAGAGTTCATGTTCCACCTGCCGTTTAGGAACTCGTACATCGTTTTCTTTGCCCCATAACCTCTTTGCTGAAAGTAAGAATTCTGCAGTAATAAGTCAGAACATGATACATTGAATGAATGTAAACATTTGAGATATTTCGTGAGCTAGCAACTTTTTGCATATTTTAGACACATCCACTTCCAACCTGTTACACACACTTCAGCGCTTTTCGATACAGCAATTTCAATAGAGAGATTACCACTCCAGTCGAGAGTGACTTTTCAGTTAAGAGCCTCGTGACTTTAAGCTCATGATTTGAATGTAAAGGAAACAAGGCAAGTTTAGCCAATAGCCCTCTTGGTAGGCGAAGAAAGAGCTTAATAGCCTTTTAGTAAACGGGGTTTGATGCTGCGAGAGAAAAGATAAACTTCCCACGTTTTTGCTTTCGTCTCCATTATACAGCTGCCAATGCCATATACCACGTCTAGTTCACTTAGGATCATATTATCCGCAGGAACTTGGTATCCCCAATCATTCACACTGCGTACTCGCTGTCTTTTCAGTAATTTCAGGATGTGCCTAGAAATGCTGAACTCGATAGTTTCCTCGAAAAACAAAAAATATATATATCCATAGGGAAATAGGGAATAACAATGTTTCCATTATTAGTTTCATTTTTATTGTTAGTTGGTATTTAATTAAACATCTGGGCATTTCGTGCAAATGAAACGTTTTACTTGCCTGCGACAAGTATTGTCATTTTTGGAAACCATAAACCGTGAAGGTTTGTTTGAGCCAACTGGTTTTCCTTAATGCAACTCTCCCGCGTGCATAATCTCGAAGGAGATTGAGCCGAGAATATCTGCCGACATGTAGCTTCCGTATCCGGCAACTGGTTTAAGTTCATGCAAGAGAGGATTTTTGGACTATGAAATAGACCGACCGGCGGTGGTGAGAGGGATTTTTGTTGTGACATGTATGAAGAAGAGGTCAGTTGGGAAGGGAGTATTTTCCCACAGACAGTGAGGCGACAGTGGAGGCATCATCCATCAAATGTCTCAATCATTGATGGTGACATTACGTTTCACGACATCATCACTCAAACGACAACCGAGAGCATGATAACCCCCGCTACTTTTGACTTTTGTCCTCCCTTCGCCGATACCGACCAGCGTAAAAAAAAAAAATGGATTCCGTCTCGTGGATCCTCATGTGCATCCCAATCGAGTCTCTCATTCTTTGATGTACAGGATAATGGTCAATCATCCCGTACGGTTCGCAGTCATCGACAAGGAGATGCGAAAATAATATATATATATATATTTAAAGGTAAGGAATGATTCGATTAAGCAAAATTCAGAAGGCAGGAAAAACTCTTTCGCACAAAAAATTCGATTTTATCTTGGCAACCTATGCCTGTAGACACTGAATTTCTTATGTTGTAGCTATATTGCAATTTAATTAACAGTAATTGCCAAATTTTAGGACAAGTTCAAGGTCAGTGCAATTAATATTCGCTCTTTTTTCCTTGATTCGATTTTAAGATGAACTTTAGTCGGGTACCCTAACGCAAATCCTAGGTCCGAACGTTTTGAAGAACGCAAAGAAATGATAGCGATGCAATCATAAAGGTTTGCCAGCTGGTAGGATAAATTCTTCCTTCTATAACACAGTCTAAATTTCCATAAGAATGACGCAAGTAGGAAAAAAAACTTGAGAACCGTCAAAGCTTCTCCGTATTTCCGGCCACGCTGGGAAACCTATGATTTCTTGATGCACTCTCCCTGGGACGTCTACAGGAGGAGAATACAAAAGGGCAGGGAAGAGAAAGCAGAAAGGTGATTGATGTTTGACAAGAGGAGGCGCCAGGGTGCTCCAGACCCCGGTCATCTTACTCACTCCTACATGCATTATACTCGTATTCTGGCCCCAGCAGTCGATATGGTCAGTGCCTTCCCCTACGCACCTTGCCTTCCCCTCCCTCTTACCTTCGATGGCCTAGCCACAGAGTAGGGAAAACACGATGGCGGTGGCCCAAAAGACAAAGATGTCAACTCGTTGACAGGTGAACAAATCACTCTTGACTCCCCCCCCTTTTGATCATATCTACCATATGGGTACCGTCTCTATCTTGCAACTTTTCCCCCCAAGTCCCCAATCTCCATTCCTGTCATCCATACCCCTTTACTTTTCCTAGCTTCAACCTTCCTATTCCCAGGTCCTCAATACGGCTGTACGAGCATGTATACCAGTTGTACTTTCTCATTCCCAATTCTAATTTCCTTCCAACATTGAATTTGACCTTGCACTTTCAAGTGCCCGTTCAAGCTTTGTCTCCTGTTCCGTTTTTCTCATCCCCCGCTTTTAGTCTGACAGACTGTCAAGCTTGACACAGTCTGTTCGACTGAAATGAAAAGCTCTACGCATAGGCATCTTAGTCACATCTAAGTGCCATGCTGTCATGAGTCGATACCTTCTTCCTTGGACGTTTTGGATTTTCCAAAATCTGGATTGCCATCGAGAACCTAATTGTGGGATTTCTGGCTTCGTCTTCCTCACGTCCGCATGCAAACCCGAATTCACCCGGAAGACCTGGATTTTCCTAATACATTTCCGGAAAAACTCGACGGATGAGAGTATATTTCTCGATTTGTGCAAGTTATTCATCACCAATTAGTTAACCTAAACTCCAATGTCTCGAAAGCGTGAACTTCGAGGCAACAGAACAGACTTTCAAGCCGAACAGTATGGAATGAGGAGACTCCCGAGAGGCGGAGCCTGTGGTGACGTCAAGGGTGGTCGTAATGAGTGGCACGCGATGGCGGTGATTGGTCAATGGTCAGGTGAGGAAGGGGAACGGACCTCCGTCTCCCGTCGTAGTCGCAGTCGAATCAGTCCGTCGGTGATCGTCGGAGTGCACGGGAGAGCCTAAGGGCAGTGCCGTCATCGGTCGCGGGTCTTCATCCATGGGTACCGGTACTTCTTCCCCTTTCCTTCATTCACTACCTTTCATCGTGATCGCCTAAAGGAGCTCTTCCTTCATCATGAACCAACTCCCTCTTCGTGAGTTCTTGTTCCAGTTTCCTTGAGAAAATTTGCTTCCCCTTCTCCTTTGAAGGTCTCGGATGGCATGAGTTTAGGATTAAACCAGACCAGTTTGGGCTCGACTTTGAGACTAGCTCTTACGAAAATAGGTTGAACAGTATGTTTCCAGACTTCCAGAATAACTGTGAAATGCATGTTTAATTTATAAACGTTAATAAATGTTTCTGGTGCACGTACGAGGCTAACTCCATGCCTTTAGGAAAAACCAAATGAAGTTCTTTTAGTCTATCCTGCACAGCACACAATACTGTACATAATGTTATTCAACAGAGTCCCGCATTTTCCTCCATGAAATCGAGCCGAAAATGCGAATCCTTCCTTGTATTTTGATAATTTTTGTCAGTCGCGCCCTTATTGCCCAACGGCTTTATGACCAGTGATTCGCTTCCATTCACAAATGAATAGCTCTAATTTTTCTTTTGCGCAACTCCAGAAGTCTAACATGTTTTCTGGATGAATGCGAAAGTCAATGCATTATCTTTCAAAATTTCTTAATTCCACCCTGAGTGGGATGTCTTACACAAACATCTCGACATATTCGCTCTCAGACTCGTTGTCTCGTTTTCCGAGAAAATCTTCAATGTACCGTCAAAAGTAAATTACCTGCACTATGTAAAAATCTTTTGCTATCACGATACTCTGCCAAGCAAATTTTTTTATTATATACTAGTAGAGAAAGTCATGCTGAGAAATGTGTGGTTGTTCTTTTCAGATATGAGAAAGGCATCTGTAGTTGCTCAGTAGATATTAAATTGATGGCGTTTGCTTCAATTCGCTTTTTTTCTCAGATACGCAGTGTCATGTGAAACTGATCCGCTCGTTTCATTATAATATTGATGGATATTAATCCTGAACAGTAAAATAGCTGAAATTCTGGGACGCACTACACATAATCTGACGAGAGGTCGACTAGATTGCATTCCATGAGCGGGAAATGAAGAGGAATAAATTAGTTCAGATTTAGAGGATCCTGCTGCCATTTCCCACGTGTGCCTACGAAATGAAAGAACGGTGCTTGCTTATCATGCCTACTTGTATGCGTGATGTGACCCCATGACATGACTCGGCATTTCACCCTATAATGGCTCGAGAATTACGCATTTTCTCTCTCCGTCTCGACAGGGCGAAGGGAATCAAGAATCAGTGGATTGGGGCTCTTGATTGTATTCCTGATGACTTCCAGTGGAGGAAATGCCGTCTGGGGTCGGAGGTTGAAGGAGGATCCAGAAGTGATCCAGGCGTCTGGGGTCAAAGTTCGCATTTCTCCCAATGAAACTGACTCCATCCGAGAATTGATAAACGATGCCGAGGTCCTCTCGGGTATTCCTTCGGGGACTGGGAGCCCGTCTCGGGGGGTTCACCTCGACGACCCTCAACTCATCCTTCGGCAGGCCAAGAGGCATCGAGACAGCCGAAGACGACGACGCAAGAACAACAACAACATCTTCCTGACTGGTGAAGTCCAAGAGGGCGATACCAACAATACGGTATCACTGGAGATGGACCCGATAAATTTAGAGAAGGTGCTGAAAAGCAGCCGGGAAGCGTTGATGGTGACCAAAAAACAATATTTGGTCCAGGACTGGTGCAAGACGGAGCCTCTGATTCAAACTCTCAAGGTTCGAGGCTGTATCACCAAGTACGTCCTCAACAATTTCTGCTATGGACAGTGCAACTCCTTCTTCATCCCAAGGACTCCCAAAGCCAAAGCCAAAAAAACTCCGTTTCAGTCTTGCGCAATTTGCAAGCCGAAACGTTATTCAATGACGAGGGTGACATTGTCGTGTCCCGGCAGATATCCTCCTTTCAAGAGAAGGCGAGTCAAGAAAATCAGTGAATGTGCCTGCACCTCTTCGCAAGCCCTCCAGTGAATATTCCATCCATTTTCTTCTTCTTAGCATTGTGTGCGTGCTGTGTGCACGGATCTCGACATGATGGGAAAGAGCTTGGTCTGTCTGGGCGGGACGTCCCCACTTCCATTAGAATCAATGTTTGAACAAGATGTTAAAAGGTCTCAAGGCCAAACTCCCTTTTCTTGTGTCGCCATGCATTTTGGATTATGGCTCCAACGTGTCCAGCACGAGATCCATTCACTCCAAAGATTCCCGGTACCAAGCGGCTATTTTTTATGTTTTATGAAACCAGTCCCTCATTATGATTTGAGAGAGAATTTTTTATTCGTTCCTTTACATGCTTCTTTTTCGGTCTTGCCATGGTGGTGCTATTTATGATATGGACTTTACTGAGCGCCTTTCGTGATTTGTACAGTACCTGGTTATAAGATGATGGCATGTACAAATATACAATAAGGGAAACGGTCTGAAATGAATAAAAAAGGGTAATATGGATGCGTGATTTTCATTTGCTGCACGAGGAAGGGAGGTAGGGATGGAGGGGGAGAGAGAGAGAGAGGGAGAGGAAGAAGGAGGGAGGGAGAGAGAGAGAGAGAGAGAGAGAGACGCGAAGAGAGTCTAGTCTTGGAGACGCCGCCTTTAATAGAAAGATAATACCGGTAATGAAAAGGAAAGAGAGAGAGAAGGAAGGAGGCCGAGCTGCCAGTCAGTCTGCCGTCAGACAGGGATTGTTCCTTACAAGAAGTTAAGATGTGCGTGCGCCCACTAACACAAGAACATCAACTGTGCATTTAGACAACAGTCCCAGACCAGAGAAGTAGATAATCCAGCCCCAGTCACAATACGATATTCCATCTCTCTCTCTCCCCTCGCCACCTAACCAGTTCCTTCCACGGGTCGATTCCGTGGGAAGTGGAGGGTAAAGGGGATTAAAAAAGTGAACACAAAAGACGAGGGGGGATGCAACGTAAAGGCAATGGGGAATGGGCGTCAAAGAGGCGTCGGTTAATGAGGTGCTGGACCTTGGGGGTCTACCGGCCGGCGCCAAAGAACGCTACTCAATTTGTTCTTCAATTTCCTTACACAATGTTCGAAATGATGTATGCCAACGACGAGGAGCCGGCCATTAACAACCCACCATCTATCTGCCATCCCTCCACGTCCTTTGCAAATTATCCCAGACAGGTGTGTGAAAGGGATATAATGACTCAATAACCCCGTCCCCTCCCGATCCTATCTTTGTGTAATCATGCCAAAATACAGTGGAGAGATGCGTCTGAAGGAGCAATCTTCCCCAGACTTTCCGATTTCTATCTGAATCTGAGTCTTGACTGAGTCGATTGGAAACTGGAAAACAAGTTCCACTTCTGTGGGCACGATAAGATGCGGAGGAATAAAGCAAATGAAGTAAATGGCCTTTTGAAGCCAAGAGGCACGGATAGGGGTCCATTCACCTCGGACTCTACGAGATCCCTGATATGACGTGAGGACCGGTGAACATGGATGAAGGCGAAATTGCTGCCATAAAAGGTAGAAATAATTTTGGAACGGTAATCTCAAGCCTGCATCATGAGATGTCTCGAACGTTGGAGACGGTGCCGTCAGTTTCTTGGTCCAGAAAATGAACTGAAAAGGTGCCAAGGGCGAAACTCGAGCCAGACTCGGATCATCGTCACATCCATGCCCTTTGAAATATATCTTCGACGATCCGGATTCGTAACGTGTACAGCACCATTGTGTTTCAATCAGAACCTGAAAAAGGTCAATTAAAATAAATTCACTGTTTCGGATTCGGTTCTCTTCATTCTGCATCACCTCTTAATATCATGGGTGAGTTTCTAATGCTTTCCTGAGCAGTTCAGAAGGGTCAACTATCCACGCAATAAAACAGAATGACATAATTATAGCTTGGTATTATAAAACATGTTCAAGGATTTCTTGACTAGGTGATCATGCAATCATCGACGAAAATGGCAGTCGAGAGAAGACATATAGGCACTTGCACATCGGACCAATCAAGAAATTACGCTATAAAATGGAAATTTTTATTGAGAAATTACAGTATCTTCCGAGATTTATTAACCGAGTTCTCGAGGGAAGAAGATCCCCTCGATATGTCCAGCTGCATCAAAGAGCTTCAACAAGAGCATGAATATAGGAATATGATATTTCTTGAATATGAAAATAAGGTACTTGGAACTTGAAGAAGTTACCGAGATCAACTTGCTGCTGACTTTCTTTCTGACCCCCCCCCCCTCCCCCCTCCCCCAGTACAGGGTATCAATAAATCATGTTGTTAGAATGTTAGCCTGATTTATCGTGAATGGTAGGCGGGGAGAAGAGAGAATCTTGGTGCCTTCCTAACTGATCACGATCGTGAATATGTGAATCCTTTCGGGTTCTTGCATCCACGCCGCGAGGATGAGCTCAGAGATTCGTAAGGCCGTCGTATCCCATGATACTCGTGGAATTAAAGCGATCGACACGGGCAATTCACGCCGGCTCAGTCGTCGCCTAGGATAATCAGGACTGCGATAGTCGCAATGTTTCCGGGGTGATTACGAGGGTATTGATAAGCTGTTTATCGGGGCCGGGCGATCCGATGTTACTGGGGACGTCGGACCCCGTCGTGCTACATCCAGGCTTATCGGTCGACTTGCCACCGGCCACAACGTTATCTTCGGCACCATGCCTCAAGGGCAGACCGGGATCTGAGTGGAACCACGGGTTAAACGATCGAGGCAACGAACATCGAACGTTGGAACGCGCCAACGCTCGGCGGTAAAGAGCTGGAAATGGTGGATGAAGCCAATTAGCGACAACGAGATGTAGTCGACCTTGCTGCAACAAAGAGGAGAGTCACTGGCTCCATCGTCCAATGGCATGTGTGGATCCACTTCTGCAGTAGAGTCGACCGAACCGTGTATACCTTTGCGAGAGTAGGGATGCTCAACGGTCTTTGGCTTGCTGAAAGCGTATTTGAAAGGAAACCGATCGGAAACAGATTGGAGCGAGTCGGGGTTTTGGCTGCCGTTCGGGCTGAATGCCAGCGAGTCAGACAGCGATGCGTTCCTCAGACGGGTGAAAGGGGCTCTTCAAGTCATTCCGAATGGCGATCTCGTTTCGCTCTCGGGGGACTTCGATGCGGGAATCGGGAAAGAGGCAGCCACATGGAGTGGTGCAATCGGTCGGCTTGAACAAGCCACACCGAATGGGAATAGCGTAATGGCAGAAAGTCTATAGACTTCTGTGCTGCAATGGCTTGACCATTATCAAACTTTCTTATCCACAACTGTATCTGCCACAGGGGATAGGACAGTCGGACTGCAACTATGGACCGGCAATCGCTGATAGGTGGATGTGATAGTTTTGGCGGGCTCGTGGGTCTTCGCGACGGATACGAGGGTAAAGCAAGGGGCTGAATCGAATACCGATCGCCACCTAGTGGTCAGCATGCTACAGAACGAAGCGAAGGCGACACGCCCTTCAAAACGGATGAGATGGAAAGCCTTCCGCGATGAATAACCTTGGCATTAAGGAGTTGGCGTAAGGAATTGGCGTAAAGTATCCCTAACTGCCTCTCCAGTATTCCGACATTGAGACGGAATAGGATCTGTTTTGGTTTGATGTCTCGGTCGCAGCAACAAGAGTGTGCGACAAAAAGAGTATTGGGGTGACGCCAGAGGCGGGTCGGGGGGGGGGGGGGACTAGGGAAGCCCCCGCCCCCCTCCCCATTGAATAATTTCTGTATCCGCCACTGGGTGGCGCACAGTGAAGCCCAGGAATAGGGCAGCGTTTCTCAAAAGGACGCAACACCGGGCCGTCTCTTGGCGTCCACGAGGAAACTCAGCTACGAACAAACACCTGGAGTGGGCAAACGCCTGCATAAATGGACTATAGAGAATCGAAAGAACATCGAGACTTCAAACTGTATTTAGTGATTTCTAAAATTTTTATTTTGAATAATTCGAACTGTGCGAGCATCGCCCCATCTTCGGTTTGTCCAAGCCAAAAAATCGACCACATCACCCTACAACATGTATTTCAGCTGGTTATCTGTACCGGTCTGGCATCTACCAAGACTTGACAGAAGTACTGGGCACCCATCGAGATTCAAATTGGCCATCCCAGTCACACGACTAGCGCACGATTGCTAGCTAAACCTAACAATACTTTCCTCTGGCCTGTACCTAAGGACAGGTACTGGTCAGAGGAAGGAAGTACAGCGTGCATGAAATGCCACTGACTATTTTTTTACTTTTTACATAAATCATGAACTATAGAATATATCAGAATTGATTACGGCTAATTATCGATGCTGAATTCTTCGGTAGTAATTTAACACAGATACGGATGAAGAACTGGCTCCCATATTTTCTCAATGGCGTTGTACTCGCAATTGTGTAGTGCGGTATCAATACTATCGTAGTCGTTTAGCTTTTGCTTTGCTCCGATAAGGTGTTCCAAGCGAAAGATGACACCGACAGCCTCGGGGGCACCCGGTCCACCAGCCCTCTCAATAATCACGAGGAGGCTCGTCTAGACAGTGCGGAATGGCTGGCGATGGAAATCCCTCACTTCAACATTGAGTATTCGTTGACAGGAATTCAGACAGAGACAGAAATGCAGATATCAGTTAGGGTTGATCGGAGAGGCGTTCCTCGTCGTCCGTCGTCTTCGATGTCAGAAAAGATATGACTTGTTGGAAAAATGTGCGACTTGGAACGACGACAAAGAGGCAATCGGCGAAACGGAAAACGAAGCGGCAGCAGACCCAGGTCGAAGTGGGGAATAGGAAATGTAGGTAGTGCGATTGTCCTGAGGCCCCGGAAAGATGGCAGCAAAGAGTACTTTTCTTTCTGTCCGAACGGGCAGCAAGAGGTGCTCGGAGAGGAAGATAAATGCAGCGAGCCTTAACGTAGAATTTTCTACAGGAGACGCGCAAGGAGAGGAAGAGGAAGATACGTTACGGCCTAAATTAGGTTGTGAAAAATGCAGGAAAATGAAGCCGATCCAAG